TTTTGTACGACTCGGACACCTGTTGTTATGTATTTGTGAGTGTGCTTGGATGTTATCACTGATACTTGTTTCCTTTCTCCTGCCCGATGTATTTTCAGGTTATTTCGGGTGCTTCTAATGACAACGATGTGCAAGCGCTTTTCTGGGACGCGAAGGATCGTGAAATTGATATGGTGACTGGTGTTACAAATTTCTTCGAGCACGAATCCGTGGATGATGGTGCCGTTCGGATTTGCTTCAGGAATTTGCAGAGTTTCAAGAATCTCTGGGTGTACTTTGAGGTGTGGCATGATAATACTTTCGCTCTTTCGTGAGTTTTTTTCTTTGAAATGGAGGCACACATTTGGACATGCGTACTTTTTCTACCAATCGCCCATGTTTACCGGATGAATGGCTCATTCGATTAGAATTCGACGATTTTCATCACATTTGCCGGCTGATACAAGTGCTCAAGCAGAGAAACATATTATATCCTGAATGCTTAGGTAAACGTTGACCGTGCTGACGACGACGATGACGATTTCGACGATATGGGTGCCGCCAACAAAGAGGCTCAAAAAGCCGTGATTGTAAAGTACGATCAGATGAAAAAGAAGGCTCTCAGCATTCACCAGAAACTAACCTGTATGTGTTTTCCCTGTCGTTTAATGTGAACATCCTCGTGTCGTTAGTTAGCCTACTATATTTCCTTGTGCCTGTGAATGAATGTGCTCGTGTATGTATCAATTATTAGTTACTGGCTTCCATTCCACCTCGTTGTATCTATTAATGGGCAGCTGGTTGTTGCCTGTGTTGATATCGATGCGATTACTTTGTCTCGCTTGCAACATGTCTGCAAAGTTGCATACCTTATCAAACACATTCCAGTATGAAAATGCTGTAGAGGACTCCTCCAACACAAATACAGTATATTTGAAATAAGAAAAAAGTGATGGTCATTGGATCATTTTAACTCTACATCCAGAGAGCTGCATGGATTGCAAGTTCTGAAAATTTATTCTCATCTTTTTAATGTGCAGCCACCATCCGAACTCAGAACTATCTGCGTTATCGTGAAGCCCGCCACAGGAACACTCAGGAGAGGTAAGTGTCATGTATACAATTGACAACTCCATTATTTGGGGCAACACATCTTTTGTAGTTGGATTCCCTATTCGAATATTCAAATATATGTACGTAGATATTTCAATGCTTGGACGAATGTCTTATTCCGGTGTGTTTATATTCTCTCGCATCTCAACCTGTCCTATTGCGAAGTTCCAAGTCGTGGTTTGCCATACGCGCGTACCATCGCACAAATGTGTCTGACAAAACCGTAGTACCGGAAAGTGGAATTTGAATATTGCCTGTTGCAATGACTAATCAATGCACGGCCCCAGGAAAACCTTTAAAGTGCACTCTCACTGAGCATATATCATAATTTAAGCACACAGTATGTCTCGTGGTTCAAGCGTGAAGCTATTATGTAATTATCCTACTCTTCCTTCACTACCCAGTAACAACAAACGCATCTTCACGTGGTCGCTGATGGTGTGCGGGGTCATGATTGGTTGCAGTTTGGTACAGGTATGTTTTTCTGAGTATTTACTACCGCAAACATCATGATATTTCCAAACGCTTGAGTTCGCGAAAAGAGTTTTCATACTACGTGAATATTGCCA